TTGGGAACGGCAGCTCCGTCACAGTCTATTTAGCTATTCGTGCTAGAGTGTTGCACTAAAGCTTCACAGACTGGCAGCTGTTGCAGCCCACGATTTTTTTTTTCAACACCTATTATTTTCTCCTCCACATTCATTATTCACACCCCCTTTTCTTTTTGTCTTTTTTTTTCTTTTTTTTTTTCCGAGACATTCAAATCCCAACTTTCCACGTCAAATTACCTCACACAATCGACATCAAGCAGAATAGCCACCAGCACATTTCAAGAATATAAACAGTTCAAGACCAACTTGCTACAAATAAAACACATAAATGTCAACCGTCATGTCTTTGTCCCTCGAATGAAAACACCTCAAGAATTTAGCCAGAAATCATTAACCCAAGTCATCATAACTAGCAAATAATTCCAACAACAGACTCTCAATTCATCATTGCGAAATTCCACATACGACACCAAAACTCAAATCACTTTTTTTTTTTTCAACCAAAAACAAATAGACGTGAACCTAAATAAATCAACAGAAACTAGAAAGCAAGACAATGCAAACCTGTATGCAAATATAAATGCACAGAAAGTCGCAACTCAACTAGACCCGTCAACAAAACCTCCCCAAACTTAGTCTCTACTATAAAGCACAATAAGGGAATCGAAATCACCAGATCATTGACGGGTAGTCCTCTTTGCTTGCTGCTGCTGTGAGTCCTCTGTCGCTCCTCGACGAATGTGAGTCCTTCGTCACTGCCTGAATCGTCGGTGCACATCTGGTGCTCGACCGGATCTTCGAGTGGGCTGTTATCGGCGGCCCCGATAGCAGTACGAAATGCTGTCAGGCTATTATCGGGGGAGGCAGTAGCAGTAGAAAATCCACTCGAATAATTATCGGGGGTGGCGGTAGCAGTATGGTCCTGCTCCGTCTCGCCTTGTTCTTCATTCTATTCATCGTTTAGCTCAAAACTACGCTCGTCCAGCACCTCCAAGTCCATGTTGCTGCTCTTCTGAAACAAGAATTCAACCGTGGAGATAAAATTGAACTAATCAAAATACTAATACTAATAGAAAAAAAAAAGAAAACAAATATTGGGTTGCCTCCCAACTAGCGCCTTTTTTTATTGTCGTTGGCTCGACTTATTACTTCCCTTTTCTTCAAGCTATCCATGGCGGATTCAGAGGTGGCCTCAAAGGAGGCACAAACCTTGCATCACCACGCTTCTTCAAGATCCTCTTATCATGAGTCGGCAATGATTTTAATTTGAGCTTCGCAGCCTGCACAATAGATGGCAAAATTTTTTGGTGAGTTTCTGATAATTTATAATTAACATCATACCTAGGAGGAATAGGTCCTCTCTCATGCAAATCCATGACGATCCCCCTCAATTCTTTGGCTCGATCGCGCAAATTGCCCCCGTCCACTTCTGCTATCAGGGGGGGCGATAACAGACTGTCGCACCCAATGCTCGATGCAATCGCCACCTCTAACTGATCATTTCGGCCATAAGTCTCCATATATTCCTGTGCTAAAGGGTCAATAACATCAAACATATAGACGGAATCATCACAATCATTAGGATATTTCATAGTATCAAAAATATTGAACTTGGCGACTTGTCCATCAAACTCCATTGTAAGAGTGCCCTGTCGAACATCAATCATCGTTTGGGCTGTATTCAAAAATGGTCTTCCCAATAAAATTGGGGCGGAGTTTGAGGACTTATCATCCATGTTCAACACATAAAAATCAGCAGGAAACACAAGATCATTAACTTTCACAAGAACATCCTCAACAACACCGTCGGGAAAAGTGGTACTACGATCGGCAAGTTGGATAACAACCCCGGTTTTCTTTAAAGGACCCAAATTCAGAGAATTAAAAATAGAACGAGGCATAACATTTATCGAAGCACCCAAATCTAACATAGCTCGTTCTATTTTTGAATTCCCGATTATACACGGAAT